TTATGTGTAAAGAAAATTTAGATTTATGTATTAAGTACGTGTAAACAAATATAAGAAAATATTAATATATTATGGAAGATTCTGCTGAAATTTGCATTAGAAATTTGTTGTATTAAATGTAAACAAATATAGGAAAATATTCATATATTAGGGGAGATTCTACCAAAATTTCTATTAGAAATTTGTTGTATTAAGTGTAAACAAATATAGAGAAATATTCATATATTAGCGGATATTCTACCAAAATTTACATTAGAAATTTGTTGTATTAAGTGTAAACAAATATAGGGAAATATTTATATATTAGGGAAAATTCTACTAAAATTTACATTAGAAATTTGTTGTATTAAGTGTAAACAAATATAGAGAAATATTCATATATTAGAAGAGATTCTGCCAAAATTTACATTAAAAATTTGTTTTATTAAGTGTAAACAAATATAAGAAAATATTCATATATTAGGAGAGATTCTACCAAAATTTACATTAGAAATTTGTGTAATATAAAATAAAAGGTTGATACAATATTGTGTATTTGTGTATTTGGTCTCTAAACATATATTATATTAGTTTCAGATATGGCAGGTAAAGGTAAAAAAGGTGTTACTCAGTGTCATAATCGTGGCAACGCTGCTTCACCTACCGCTCCCACTTCCACTTTCACACCAACTATTATGCAAACCTCGCAGGATAGGAGACAAGAACAGTTTATCATGGTACCCAACCCTAGGTATGTTGCTCTTCCCCCTTCACTGTCGACTACACATGCCACACAACCTCCTTCTACACAGGGCACAAGTGAGGGATCTACTGTTGTCCCAGCTGTAAGTGGGCAGCAGTCATCACAGACCCCGGCATCATTTAGATCGCTTCCAACTTTAAGATGGTATGAGTCTACTTGGTAAGTTAAATTTAAAATATGAATAATAACTCTATTTGTTTTAAACAAGTTATAATAATTGTATTATTTTATTATATGTTAAGTTAGATTCCACCACAGAAGGGTCTCCACCAGGTAATAGATACCATTAAGAAGATGTTTGATGCGCCTTACACAAGTTTTGCAAAGGTGCCTAAGGATACAAAGATAGAATGGTTCAAAGATTGGAAGGTAATAACAGTTAATTAATTCCAGCTAAGTGTAATTAGATATTGTTTCTTGTAATTCTTTTAATGAAATTGTATTTATGTAGAGCAACTTCTCCATTCCCCCTAGGATGAAAAGATGATTTTCAAGGCATAGAAGAGTCGCATTGCGAAGCGACTAAGACAGATGTACACTGAGGTCCGTCAAGATCCGTCATCTGCTGATTGGATAGCATCCAACTTCCTTCATGTCTTGCAGGAGTATTGGGGTACGGATGAGTTTAAAAATCTCTCCGTAAAGACCAAGACAAATAGGGCATCCTTAAAAGGAGGATCATTGTATACTGATGGTTCTACGACTTTGGCTGGCACTAAAGCGAACTTGGTATGTAATTTTTAATTTTATTTTAAAATTTATTTTATTCAATCTATAATTAATGAGTGAGACGGTGATTTAATTGAAATTGTAGGAAAAGTCACTGAAGAGACCACCTACACATAGAGAGGTGTTCAAGGAGATACATACTTGCAAGGGAGACAAAACCTTGAAGGTTGATACACGATCTCAGGCCACATATGTAAGTTATCCTTATTGACAGTATATGTTATTATAATTGATTTATTATATAGTTTTCGAGACTAATATATAATTATCTGCATTGAATTATAGGATGACTATGTTCAAAGGCTTGAGGAGGCATCTTCTCAAGATCCAGGGTCAGTTGATGATGATACTATATGGTCAGAGACTATGGGTGACCTTTATAAAAGCCGCATTTACGGCATAGGGAGTCGCTTTGCAGACTCTATATCCCCTGCATCTGTCACAGGAGATGTCCCTTCTCTTGTACCTCAGGAAGTGGAGGACATGGTCCGCACTCAGGTCTATGCCCTCAATAAAGAACTGCATAAGCAAAATGAAGAGATGTGGAAGAGCAAGGAAAGTGCATGAAAGAAGAAGTGAGCAAAGAAAATGGAGAAGAAGATAGAGAAGAAGGTGGCATCGAGGATGCAAAGGGACGTGCAGCAACAGATGCAGCAGTAGCATATGCAGATGCAACAGATGCATGCATACTTTGAGCTCATGAGAGCAAGCACCTCTACACCTCTTCCTCCTCCTCTGCCAGCTCCAACACCACCAATCTTCAGCTCCATTCGTCATTCCTCCTCGAACTCCTCCCCTACTGATGGCGATTTTTTTTCGAAAAATAATCACGTCGATTATTAGTGATATACAATGTTATTTTATTTTTTATATTATTTTTCTAAATGTTTACTTCTTTCTTTGTAATGAAATTTTAATTTTACATTTTATAAATAACTTTTAATTTTAAATATATAAGTTTGTAGTTTTTATTATGTTTATAAATTGTGATAATTAGGAACAGCGAGAAATAATTATGTTTATAAAAAAATGAAACAATTTTTTTTAAATTTCATAAATGATTTCCTTTTGTAATACAGACAGATTTTTTTCATTTGTAATACAGATGAATTTTTCCGTCTGTATTTACAGATGAATTATTACAAACAGACTGTAACCGTCTGTAAATCCGTCTATAATGTTAAAATTTGTCTGTAATAATGAAAAAATTTATTTGTAAATCTGTCTATAGTTTTGAGTTTTCTAGTAGTGATTACGTTGTCTATATCCTATATCCTATTGTATAGGAATTGAATGGCAAAGTTCAAATTTATGAACATTTAACAAAGAAAGGTGAATGCTTGTATTATTTTATGGTACAATTTTAATAAAGTTTTTTAAGTGATTTTTATTTTATTTTTGGACTAAAATTTTAAGTGATTTTTAAAGATATTTTTTTGGGTGATTTTTATTGAATGGCAAAGTACAAATTTATGAAAATTTAAATATTTTATTTATAAATAAAAATATTTTTTAACAATTTACAACACAGTTGTGTGATCTTTCTTCACTTTCTATATTATTTATCATAGGATGCATGTATAACTGTGTTATCTTATATCCTAAACGTTACAATTCTATCAAAATAAACTTTTTTTTTTATTAAACTTAATTTAATCAACAAATTTTATAAATAATTTTGATAGAACTACGTGATTTTGAGTTTATTATTGCACTTGAGAATATGTAAGAGCCGAAACTAAACCTGTAAATTAACATTTCAATAAATAATTTATTTTTTTTTTAAAATAAAAATAACAATAATTATTATTTAGTGTTTAAAAAAATTTGTTCAATTAATTTAATATAACTATTATTTAAATAAATGTTATAAATTATTAATATTTTTTTTACTCGTAAATAATTTTTGAACTTATTTTTTATTTTAAAAAATATACTATTTTAAAAAAAAATTAAGATTTTCTTAAAATAAATTTTACTAGCAACTTTTTTTATTTTTTAAAAAATATTTTATTTTTAAAATTTATGTTTCTTAAATTTGTTTTTATCGTTGTGATTCCTAGGTAGCGATATGCCTATTAAATATTAAAAAAATTATAACTGTTTTTTTTTCTTCTATTTTTCTTTCTCTCAATTTCACCTTGCGTTCGTCCGAGTCTCGTAAATTCAAAAAGCAAAATTAGCGTCACAATTACAAATAATCTTTCATGGATTTATTGGTGTTGCATTTTTTTTATTGGCAGAAACTAGTTATGATATAATATGTCTTCTTTATCTCTATAAAATAGGCAAAATGACTATCCAATGTCAAAAATATTCACCATTTTTACTATTTTATCGATGACTTCTCTTGCATTGTGAGGCATGAGCAGTTTTATTACAGAATTGATAGTTTTTTTTTTAAATAATTACCGGATAAAAATATCTTTTAATTAAAAAAATATTAATTACTTTTGTAACAATAATTGAAATGATATTAACTCCCATTTATTTATTATCTATTTTAAGGCAGATGTTTTGTGGATACAAACTTTTTAATACACTACACTCTTTATTTTTTTGATTCTGAGCCACAAGAATTATTTATTTTAATTTCAATCCTTATATCCGTACTATGTATTGGTATTTATCGGATTTCATTTTCTCATTATCAGTTATATTTTTTTATTTCCTTCCGATTGTCATTTCAAAACGTTTGGTCAAATCCAAGTTCTCAAGTTTCATTTGGAGAATTTCCAATTGAAGTGACATGGAAAAAGAATCTCTGAAGTACACCTTCAAATTTAAAGCATCCATCACTGTAGACCTGATATTTCTAAATTAAAGATATTTATTTCAATATTAATAAAAAAATTAAAGATAACGACCTTTTATGAAGTTAAAAAAATTAAATAAAAATATAAGTGACGGAATATAATTTCAAAGATTTATTGATCAAGGGCATATGACTAAATCAAATGACATTATAGGATCAATCAACATTCAATTATAAATTTAATAAAAATATCCTTAATATATAAATATATAGAGAGAATACTTATCAATTGATTTACTCTCTCGTTAATTTGTTTTTAGTAATTTATATTTTATATAGTTTTTCCTCTTTTTTCAATCGCTTTTGTTCGCCATCTGAAATTTTTTTATAAGCAATCAGATTAAAAGCTTATTTGTATATAAATTAAAACCACCTTAGCGATATTTTAAAGATATTTATATTTATACTCTTATTATTGAATTCTTCCGATTAAGAAAACAAGAAATTGAAGAGAAATCAAGATGCCTTTATAAGCAGGTCGTTGATAAGTTCGTGTTCTCCCGCATTTACACATATCTCAAAAATATATCAAAGAGCAAATGAGACAAAACTTTTTCAATTGTCCCTAAGAAACGAAAGTTGTTCAGAAACTATTTTGTTTGTAGGACAACCTAGCTTTTATTTCTACGTAAATCTTAAACAGTACATGTCACTAAAGATGAAATAAAACTCATGCATTTATTTCCTTAGTACATAAAATTAACACAGTGGCTGAATGTCAATGGTGCACTGTAGGATCATAAACATAGGGAATCAAACACAATTCCTTTTCCTTTCCAATAGCCAATCCAAAGTGTTCAGTCATGTCCAGACTCTCAGGTTTCATCTCATTAGGGAGTTCCCAGTTGAAGTGATAGAGCAATAGAGCCAATGGAAGCATAATGGTGGCTAAACCAAATGTCATGCCAGGACACATTCTCCTTCCAGCCCCGAAAGGGAGATACTCAAAGTTATTCCCTTTGAAATCGATAGAACTGCCATCGAACCTCTCTGGGAAAAACCTCTCAGGATCAGTCCAATATTGGGGATCTCTTGCAATTGCCCAAACGTTTACCATGATTTTAGTCTTTGCAGGTATTTCATACCCATCAATGATTGTTAGTTCTGAGCATTCTCTAGGGAGCAATAAAGGAGTAGGTGGGTGTACCCTCAATGTCTCTTTGATCACCAACTTCAAGTAAGTAAGTTGCTCAAGATCAGCTTCATGAATTATTTCCTTTTCTCCAAATGCTTCTCTTATCTCGGCTTGTGCTTTCTCCCTCACTCTTGGATTTCTCATCATTTCTGCCATAGCCCACTCTAGTGTTGATGCTGAAGTATCAGTTCCAGCAGCAAATACATCCTGGTCAAATAATTATAATATTGTCATAAAGATAGGTGTTGCAAAGAAAAGGAAAATAACATTTAAGTGAATGGTGGAGCCAGATTGATTTCAGGAGAATTAGTCAAATGGGTCCCCTGATTCATTTTTATCAACAAATATTAGCTTTAATAAGAGATGATTTGGTGGATAATTGTCAGTCACTTTCAGTGAAAAGTATATGTTTATTGACATTGTCAAATAACTTATTGCGAGTAGATTTCAAAACACGGGACCTCGCATAGAACAATTACCAAAGGCTCTTTTTTTTTTTTTTTTCTTTCTAATTCATCACACAATATATATATATATATATATATATATATATATAGATATACATTATGATGTTTTTAAAAGATTAACATCACGATCTTTTGTATTTATTAATGTTTTGATACAGTAATTTATAAGAGCATTTATTTTTACCTTCGTATATTTATTGTTACTTTAGATTAAGAAATTTTTTTTTAATTATTAATTTTATTAGCAAAGATAAAAATAAAAGATTTAAATAGATATTTATTGAATAAAAATAATAATAAATATTTTAAAGTGACAATAAATATACTCATGTCCACCTCTGAAAATAAACAGTGAATCTAACACATGGACATAATTATCGTTATTAATTAAAAGTTATATTAGGAAATAATCATCTCAACTCTCTAAGTAAGTTAAGAGTTCAGATTTTATTCCACACCCATTTTTTCAACCATTTTCACACTCTATTCTATTTCTCTGATTTATATATGAGACCTTTTACTTTCTATGTCTGTTTTTTTTCCCATCACTCTTTTCATATGGGTGTATTAGTCCGCTTAGGTGTGAAACGATTATTTCTTTATTATTTAGAATCAATTACTTGTTGACTTTTCTTTTTCTTTTTTTCTGAACAGTAACTTTAATATGTGGAGTCTGTCAAGTGGTACTCGAAAAGATACAGACAATAGCATACTTTATAAGAACAACCGGAAACATACATGAAAACTGTAGTCTAAATAACTTCGTATACCAATAGCTTGTTGGATACTTTTCATATATTTCAAAAGTTTATTAGAATTAAATTTATTTTAATTAATTTTTATTTTATTTATTCTATTTTAAGTTTGTTGAGATAAAATTATAAGATATATTTTAACTTATTAAATATCTATATATTGTTAACAAATTATTACTCTTTTTAATAAATATATCTAATGAAGTAACAAATTGTAACTCTATTCCCTTTGCTTCATCCTTTTCTCCCTATAATTGTTCTCCTTTTTTATCGTCTTTCTATCCTTTTCTTCTATGATTAAGTAAACAATAATTATATTTCTGTGAGTTCATAAACTTACGTTTATCCTAAAAAATAATCCTGGAGTTGTTACACAGCTTTAAGGACAACATTCAATATGTATAAAACCAATTACTCTTGTTAATGGTTTTCTCCGTAATTTTGTAATATGAGAGACGGGTAAAAGCAAAGGAAATTAAAGAGGGATCATTCATGCAAATTTAAAAGACTGTGAAGTGTTTTCCGGCATTTACTAACCAATATTAAAGCTTTGATGCTTCTAGCAGTTATTTTGACGTCGAGAGTGTCACTTTGTTGGATTCTCAATAGAACATCAACAAGATCTTCGTTGTCTACATCAACTTTGTTTCCTTTTGCTCTTATTTTATTTTCTTTATGTTGTTTGATAATGTTTTCCAGGACTTTGTCAATCTGATCTTGCAACTTCTCCAATCTAGCCTTCCTCCCAGTAAAGAAATTTATGAAAAATTTCATGGAAGGAAACACATCAGCCAGTTCAAATCCTGCCGCAGCTTCTATTATTTTTTTAATCAAATATATAAATTCATCATGATCCTTTGATTTGAGACCAAATGCTGACCTGGAAACAGAAGAACCTACCAACGAGAAAATTTTGTTAGTAAGATTAATTGATGAACCTGCACATGCTCGAATTGAGTCTATAAATTTGGCTGTCTCATCTTCCCTAATAAAAGAGATCGATTGAACTCTCTTGACACTTAGAAGCTCAGAGACACATATCTTCCTCACTTGTCTCCAATAATCACCATATGGAGCAAAAGCGATGCCTCTTCCCCCATAGGACAAAAGTTGAGCAGACTCAATATGTGGCCTCTGCACAAAAGCAAGATCATGGGTTTTTGTTATCTCCTTGGCCACCCAGGGGGAGGATACAACAACAGTAGAAATTTCACCAAGTTGAAGGTGCATGAGAGGTCCATATTTATGAGCAAGTTCTCGAAGTGCACGATGTGGAAGTGAACCTGTTAATGCTAGTTGATGCAGGTTCCCAATGATAGGTAACTTCCTTGGCCCAGGGGGGAGTTTGTTCTTAAGAGTGGTTTTTGGCTTGTAGTATTTTGCAAGCCAATACAATAGCAAGAACAAGGAGAAGACAATAACCACAAAGTACGCTTGAGTTTCCATGGGTTTTGGAGTTGGCTTTAAATGTTGATATTGTTTGCCGGGGGGCTACATGTTCCTATTTATAAAATCCTCCAATGACGACAACGAAGATCTGAACATGGTGCATTGAGTTCAACAAATGATGTAGATTTTTTTGAAGTTTGGAGATAAAATATTATATCTACATTTCAACTTCGATATCGTTAAAAATATCCCGTTCTTGTATTTTTATTATTATTTTTACTTTTATTATTCTTTTAATCCCTCTCGTTATATAACTGTTGTCTCTTTTACTCGATGAAACGTATGCAGTTCAATTAGGTGTTTAAAAAATCTTATTTGGTATTATTTACATTACGTACAATATAGCCGTTTCTTACAATCGATGGGTTATTTACATTATATACATGTGGAGGGAATTTGTTGATTAGTCCCATGCCAACCCTCAAATCTAATTAACAATAATCACTGAGCCATGTGGAGCATACCTTCCAAATCTAATTAACATTACGAGATGCCGACTCAACATTTTTTTAGTTATCATCACATCCTTTTATGATAATTCATATAATATTGTTAAATGTTTGGCCTTTTTTCTTTTTATTTTATAAATAATGAACAAATTTACATAATTCAGATCGATAAATATTTAAAGAACGCCAAAAAATAAAGAAACAAATTTGTTACCTTTTTTAAAGTAGAGGAGAGGAATGGAAACTAATATTTGTACATCAGGTCATTTTTCTTAAATCATTTAAATTCTCCAATTTTTGTTCACTAGAAATGTATGATGATGATAACAGTAATAATAATTTGTATAATAATTTGTATAGAGGTTAGACCATTCACTTACGTACAGTATTGACCTTTTTAAACGTGTTCAATAATATTTTGGAAGTATTGGACATGAATAATATGAAAGATACACCTAGTACGATTGCCATGGTTTAATTAATTTGTACCGATTTTAAAATAAAAAAAATATTATTTGATCATAAAAAAAAACTTATAATTTAATTTTAAAATAATAAAAAATTTGAATTAATGAAATCAGTCTTAGATTATTTTTTTTTTGGCAATATGAATTGAATGGGTTAATTCATTTTTCTTCTTTTTTAAATTTTATTAAAAGAATATACGTTATGTTTTAGTTTACAATTAAAGTAAATTTCATTAATTATAATATAAATAAGTTTTTAAACCGGTACATCTTTTTTTAGTGATTATTAAAGAAATAATAGTTATTAAATTAAAAAATTAAATATATAAATAAAATAAAATAACTATTCAAAAAATACTAAATCTTATTATAAATCAAGAGTTAAAATAATCTTAATTTTTTATAAAAATATATAATAATTTTTAAATTAATGTTTATATAAGAGTATAATAAACAAGTTATATAAATTTTAGTATATTTTCAATTAAAATTAATTCGATTCTATTAATATATAGACAGAAAGGAAAATCAGATTAAACAGTACAAAAAAAACTTTGAAATTGTAGTTTTTTTTTTTTTTAATTTATGGATTTAATCATTTAGTATAATTTATATAAATTTTTTAATATCTTTGGTGCCTGCAAGTGTCATGCTTCCTTAGAGACAAGATTGTCTCTCTGGCATTGGTGTACTTTTCTTCTTGTTCTTGATAGGAGCTGGTTTTTTTGGTCAAAGATATATGGCCTCGACATTTTACTTTTATTTGTTGCAGACGTCACTTCCTTAGTTTGACAGCAAATAAGTACGTAATTGAATAGACTTGCTCCTGTGCAGTTTGTTCTGGCGTTATATAGTTAATACATACACTTTCCAATAACGCAATAATAGATAGGACGACAATTTTCTTTACGATTGGTTATGTATTTCTATTTTTTATTTGGGTAGTAAATTCTCACAATCCACAACAAAATTATTATTATATAATTTTAATATATATTTTTTATTTAAAAATTTGAAATTTATTTATTTCAAATAATATAACCTAACTTTAAGAAAAATAATGAAAACATACCTTCTGCATATGTGACAAGTTGACAAGAATCATAGTTTATAATATTATTTTTATTTAAATGAAAATGAAATTATCTTTATACTCTTTTGTAATTTTTTTCATTTGCTCCCATTCAACGTCCATTCTCCTCTTTACTTTTAGTCCTTTGTGTTTTTTTTCTTTTTTTTCTTTTCTTTTTCTATTTTTTAAGTAATTTTTTTGTTTAAATGAATTTTTTAATTTAAACAAAATTTATTTTTTCATATGTTTTCCTTGAGAAAAAAAATTACCGTAAGCTATAATTTTTGTCAAGACTTTAAAGAATTTAGATTAAAAAATATATATTTTTACTGTGTTCAGTTAAGCTTTCTGTATCGGTGCACCCAAGTTAAATTTTTTAAATGAGTCCGTAATATTTTTGTTGTTGAGAAAAAATAAATTTAATGTTTAACTTGGATTTTAAAATTTTTTTTCGTATTCATAACCGAAAAAATATTTTTTATATTCAATTTCTAAAAATATCTTTACTTCAGTAGTTTAGTTTTATGTTCTTTTATTCAAGATATAATTTCTCTTTGTTATTGAACGATATAATATTTAATTTATTTTAAAAAATATGTCATGTTTTAATAAACCATTCAATGTAAGTTATATTTGTAAAATATGATATTTTTATTTTTAAAAAATATTTTCTAAAATTATATGTCTGAAATATGATTACATAGTATTATTATTATTTTAAATGAGTGGTATTTGACAAATATAATTTAAATATTTCATTTATTAAAAAATGGGTAAATTGTATTTATTAAATGCACTAGTTTTTTTAATATTATATATATATATATATATATATATATATATATATATATATATATATACTCATAGTTTTGATGTTTGTATTTTCTATGCTTGTTATGGATAAGATTTTATATAAATTTATTTGGTGGATTAGTAAAAAAGTTAGCATAAGTAAATAAAGTATTATGTTATTATTGGGAATTTTTTATATTTTAAATTTTAAATTTTTTTCAGATATTTAAGATTGATTTTATGTAATAATAAAAATTAATAAAAATATTATTCGTATAATATAAGTTTAAGGATTAAAATAAAAAATTATTGAAAGTTATTTATAATCATAAATACCTACAAAGCTTAAAATAAAATTTTATTATATTACAATATTTATTATCATTATCATGTACAGTAATAAATGTTAAATTTGAAAAAAAAAAGTAAAAATGATAAAATTAGAATATTAAAGTTGGAATAGTAACTATAATAAATAATAAATAAATAATTATTTTAGATTATTTCATCATATACAAAAGAAATTTTAAAAATATTGATGAGAAAAACGGATGTGATAATTTTTCAATTCGATAAAATTACAGTGTTATGTTCTAACTTGTTAGATTTTTGCGTCACATTGATTGACAAAGTTTTTTTATAATTATATTTTATGATTAATATTTTTTATTAATCTTAATTTTTATAATAAAAATATTTAAAATAATATTTTTTAAAATATAACTATTATTTTAAAGGTATAAAAATATATATTTTTAATTATTTTTTATTTTTAAAATATATTATAATAATATTTTTTAATTATTTAATATTATCAGTATTTATTTTTATAGATTTTAATTTAAACTGCATTATTATTTTTTAATAAAATAATTTAAAAATAATAAATATTGTATAAAAGCTTCTATAAAGTATAATATAATTAATAAAAATAAATAAATTTTCATAAAGTGTATTAATATAATACAATGGTACAGTGAAACAAATTAATTTTATCTTAAAATTAAATTTGTAAATATATTAAGAATCAATTTATTTTAACAATTAATTTTAAATTAGATTTAAAATTAATTTAACATAAAATTAGATTTAAAATTAATTTAATATAAAATATTGAATTTAAAATTTATTTTAATCAAAATTAAATTTAAAATTAATTTAAAAACATTAAAATAGATTGATTTAAAATAAAATAAAATCTGTATGATATATCGTCTATGTATACCAAAATCCAATAGGATGCAAGTTTGACATTTCAGAACAGAAACAGCTATACAACAAATTAACAATACAATGATTTCTCAATAGAAAAAAAAAATACAATGATTTCTCAGTTAAAGACTTGGACCTTTTTTCTTTTTTTTTTTTTAATAATAGGTCTTGAGATTATTTTCTAATTCTCAAGTATTTCAATAATTATTTAAACAGGACAACATATAACACAAGTTCAATATACACATGTTTATATAATTTACACGTGTTAAACTTTTATTGGTCTATCTATTTATCGCATATAAATTCATTAAACTTTCAAAACGAATTCATCTTTATTTGGTTGAAATTTATTATGAAAAAAAGCTTATAAAAAATTGATGGTATGCAAAATTAATTTATGATTTTTATGCTTTTTATTAACTATAATAAAACTTAATAAGATTTTTAATTTATTTTGTTTCATTAATGACACAAACTTTATTGTAATAAAAAATATATTAAATAAATATTGAATTAATCTGTTTATTCAAATATGCATGGTATGTGCTATAAAAATGCATCATAAGTGAGGAATTCAAAGGACGGTGTTTGGTACTTCGTGTGGAAAAAAAATGTTCTAAAGAAATCATTACAAATGAGTTAATAATAATTATTATATTTTCTGAGTTACTTGTACAAGTGAACTTCTAACATATAAATAAATATTTTCATGAGTTGTTCACATGATAAAAAAAAAAGTTGAATTATGATTTTTTGTTTACTTAAAAAATATTTTTGTCCCTTCATATTTTAATTTGACTTTTTATCCGAAATAATAAAAGAATTAATATTAAAGTTGGGGTAGTAGTATATATTTGTTAAAAGTATAAACATATTTTGAAAAGATAAAAGATTATTTAATGTTTACTTGGTGAATGTAAAATAGGTAGAGAGATCTCATAAATTATAAGAAAATATAAATAAACATAATAAATGATAAAAAAAACAAAATAGTATTATAAT